GCACAGCTCTCGGCTGCAAGGTCACGGGTAAAAACGGCACTGAATTATTTTGCAGCAAAAAATCCTCAACAGTCTCGTAAAATTTTTGGCTCAGACTGTGGGGATGTAAATTTCTCGGCGGATTTTTTGTAATAAAAAAAGTATATCCTTTTTTTTAAAACTTTTGTTTCTATTAACTTCTTAAAGTTTAAAATTAAGTTTGCAAAAATTGATATTCAAAATTGCATCTGTATATATCTGTAATAATGTTAGGATAAACATTATTACTTTTATGATTTCCTTAAGAAAAGCCTTATTAAATTATTACTTACGCATGGCCTTAAAGTAAGCTGTCAATTTTTCTGTAATGATATAGGTTATCTCAACTTTTTTATGCCCACTTGGGAAATTTTTTTCGGCAAAAAGTGTCAGCATGTTTATGGTATTTTGGGGTATTTTGTTGAATTTTTTGTGTGATATCAATAATTATGATAGCAAATTTAGGGTAGGAAAAATCAACAAAACTAAAAATAAAAATATAATGAATAGATTTACTTACCCAATTTTCAAATAAAGCTTTCATGGATAAAATATTAAAAAAAACAATGAAATGCTAATAATAGTTACAAAACATAAGATGTTAAGGGGCGAATGTACATTTACAATAAGAATTTTTTTCAGTGTTTGTTTTTTTGAAAAATACATTAATTTTTTTTCCCAGGATGCAAGAGAAGTGTTGAAGCTTTTTTGCTTGCCTAGAAATGGTTCTTTTTTTGGGGGAATTTATTCTTTTTGGGGACAAAGGGGAAGTAATACCACAGCATTAAGGCATATTTTCCCTTTTAAAGAGCCTTTTTTTTTTAAAGGGTAGGTTACTGAACGTTCATACAAATTTATTTTTTTTAATTTTTTGTCCCCCAATTATCGGTGGGGAGGGGGCAAAATCTTTTTTTACTCATTTCATAGTAGTTTTAAAAAACAGGGGAAGTGGCCCCCTTTTCTTACGCTGGGTTTTGAAATAAATTTTTCACTAAAAGCTTGCATAAAGAAATCTTTTTTCCAAATTTAAAACCTCAAAACAGACAAAATAAAAAAAAAACAATTATTTCCGGTCAAAAATCCTCAGTCCTTTTAGTGGAGAAGGCATTGTACTTCCTATAAACTAGTGAAGGATGCAAGAAGAACACTTATAAGTACCAGTTACCTTAGCTACAATGTTATTTGTTTATATATTTTGTAAAGGTGACAAAAAGAGATGAGGAATCATCATTGATGCAGCTGAAGGAAGAATTTCGTACGTACGAGTTTCTAAGACGTGAGCATGATTCACAGATTGTACAGATAGCAATGGAAGCTGGACTGAGGATCGCACCTGACCAGTGGTCATCATTATTGTATGGTGATTCCACTCACAAGTCTCACATGCAGTCTATTATTGACAAGGTACTTGTTTTAATTGTGCACATTTTTACTCCTATATGATCATATATAGGGCAAACTAAATTCAAATGAAAAAAAGTAATTATGAATTGGATGTAGTTAACTTTTTTAAGTAATTTTGTGTTAAAGACATCTGCTGGTTTCCATAAATTTGATAAATTAATGTAAACAGTAAGGTTTTTAACTTTAATTTTTTTATTAATAAATGCTTTATTTGCCTTATTTAAACATGAAAATCAAATGTGTTAACTATTTTATTAAAATTCTTTCTTGATTACACTTTGGATAATATATTTTAAAAAGTTTGACATTAATATGAAGTCGAGCCAGCATTTTGCCTGCAGATTGAACAGGTTTTTTTCAATGTTGGCTGTGGAACTTTAACCTTTTAATAAACTAATGAGAATTTCCAAATTCAATTTGACAGAAGTTTTTGTTTGGCAAGGGTTTAAGTGTGTGCAATCTCTTGCATTGGAACTTGAGCCTTTTGATATACTAATGAGGATTTCCTATTTCAATGTGATAGAAGTCTATTATACAATGTTAGCTTGACAAGGGTTGAAGTGTGTGCAAGCTCTTGCATTACTTTCTAATTTAAATTGGCTCTGTGTGCCCCTTGTCGCTGAGGGGTTGAGGTATAAGAATAGCAGCCACTATTTATCCCTATGTGCTCATAAGAAGCAACTAAATGGGTTCAAATAACTAAAGTCTATGCATCTCTTAGCTGCAGTGAGTGAAGTTGTTTTGACCCCTGGTGTTGCTTTTAAGTTTGTAACACACGAGGTTAGCCAAAATCATCTTTCCTGTTTCGGATCCATGTGACCTACACTTTTTTATCACCAAAAAATTACCAAAAAAACAAAGCCTGTTTTTTTTTGTTTAATAGAATAATAATAAATTAAAGTTTAAAAGAAAACCCCAGGGTCAAAACCCCCTCCCCTGCTGCAGCACTTTTTTGTAAGGTGTATCAAAAATTTATCTTGGGTTTTGAGAAAGTTTGTTAAAATAGGGGACAACAAAAAGAGATATTTGTATTTTCGTTTCAGACCCCACGCATTTCCCGAGTGTTAGTAAATTTTTGAACCTTTAAGGAACGGGGGCCCCCTATATTTTATCAAGCTGAGACCAAATTAAGTTCCTTTAAATTTTGACCCTGCCAGGAAAATACTGATTTCCAGAAACCTTTTCTTCATTATCTTGTGACATAATTTTTTCCTTTTTTAGCCTTTCAGGGTTTCAATTTATTTAAATTTTTCTGTCTGCTGTCTATATTTGACTTTAAAAAATGCAACATTTATCCTTATTTAATAAAGTTAAATTTTCACACAAAACAAAAACAAAAAACAACAACTAACAAATAAACCCCCTTTTATACAAATAAACAACTTTGCATATTGTTTGTTTTTTTTAAATCACATTATCTTGATATTTATTTCTTTTTCATATTTATTAATATCTAATGTTATACAGTAAACTTAATATTTCTATTACACTTCTGATAAAGTTTTATAAGAAGATATTTGTTATAACTGTTTGACAGATGGAGAAAAGCTATTTAAATTCATATTTTAAATTGATAATTATTACTTCCCAGGTGTACCTTGCCCTACCGGGATAAAACTTATTGGTGTGTTAAAGGCTGTCAAGACTGTGATCGAAGTTGGTAGTGGTTTCTACAGAGTGCCGGGGTGCCAGAAAAACCGATCATCCATGCCGTTAATGCCCGGTATAAACCAGCTATTGAGAATTATATGGAGATGAAAACTGCCAGAGCAAACTTGACATTTGCTCATTTCTGAAGAAGAGTTGGGATAATAAAGAATTTTTCTACTAAAGTTTCTTTCCAACCTAGAATATTGGGATTTTACAACAGTTGCCGGCTACGGACGGACTCTCTTCGTTGTAGGGAACTGTTAATGGCAAAGATACGACTCGTCAGTTCCACTACAGTTACCCCAAGATATTCCTGTCTGTGATGACAGCCGGTGTTTGATTCTTTTTTACTGCATATTACAAATTAAGAAATTACAAAAACTAATATTTTTATTAAGCACTTTTTCTAAAAGTAGTATATGAATTTACAACTTCATTCATAACGGCACAACCACATCTTCCTAAGGATGCAGTTCATTCACAAAAGATGCTTGTGACTTATGTCATTAAAAACACACGACTTGTCTTACCTGGTCAGAGTAAGACAGGTTTTTATAGTGTAAATGGTTGATATTCCTGTCTATTTCTGTATGCAATGATAAAATATTATTTGTTTCTCTTCCTGCTATGTATCAACTATATTCACTCTGTTCTAATTGTAAGGAAGCTGTCCAGCTAGAATACAAACATTTTTGCTTCCGCTTAAGTGCTCACTCATTCCTGATCTGATTGATTTACAGAATGACCTTGTTTCTACTTATCTAGCTTTACATGGCCTGAACTGATAGAAATACAATAAGTTGTTGAAGCACTGAAAGCACCTATTTTGTTGTTTGTTTTGTTTTATGCTATTGTCTTGCAAATATAGGGAATGATTGAGAAGTAGAAATAAAGTAACAGCATTATATATGTAATTACAGGTACAGACAGAAAAGTAGGAAAGTACCACGAGGTCCTGGTAGCTATAGAGATGATGACAGGTTTGTTGTTTATGAACAAATTTTCTTATATATGAAGTTACTCAGTCAATGAATTTAAGATTTTGAATTTACTGGCCTGAATTCCAATTTTGAATTTATTCTACTATATATTAAACTAAATTTTCTTAAAATTTTCTCTGGCCCTGGCCATGGGCCACTGGGCCAGTGTTAAATTCGATGAATGGTTGTTAAATAAGTTGAATACTCTATAGTGGTAGAATTTGCATAATAAAAATTATTATAATGTTGATGAAGAATGAAAAAAATATTTTTATAATTCTCACTTTTCAGATCTCAGTATGATAGTTATGACTATTTGGATGATAAAGATAGTTATGGCTATAGACACGATCATTCACAGTCAAGGGACGCCTCTTATCCTCCCAAACCATTTCAACTCTCTAAATCAATGACCCACCCAGTGCCCTCTCTACAAAGACATCCACCTCCAAAGCGACCTCAACTTCCTCAAGGCACAGTACATAATCCAGGAGCTCCGCCTTTATATAGAGCCCCTCCCACACAAAGACCTCCCCCTCCATTTGTAGCACCTCCTCTACAATCAGCAGTTCCTGGTCAGAGGACTCCTCCCTCACATAATGTACAATCTCAATTAGAAATGACTCCGCCTCCACAGTTAACAACGCCCCAGACAGTCATGACGCATCAGATGGCTCCGCCTACACAAGAAACTCCATCCCCACAAAGTGAACAGTTCGTTGTTGTTGGAAAACCTGTTGGTCAGACTGTTGATAATGTAGATATGGGTGATAATATGATTAAACCATCGGTTGAGATGGTGATTGGACCAGGTGGATACATCCAGCCTATAGGTAACATTGTGCAGTCACCAATTACACCCACAGCTAATTTTGCCACACCTACTCATGAATATATTTCACAAGTAGATCCAGCATTACAGCAACAAGTTGGAAATTCCCCCATGCCTCCGAATGATGACTCAGCAATTCTTCAGGCAGGAAATGTTATTCCTCAAGCAAAAAACATGGTAATGCCACAAGGCATGCCTCCTTCAATGGCCCCGCCTCAAATGTCAGTCCAGGTCAATCCCCAGGGTATGATGCAGCAGGGAATGAGTATGGAAATGCAGCAAGGGGCAATGATGACGGGCGGAGGAGCTTCAAATATGCCACCCAACATGCCACAGATGGGTGGAATGATGTATCCATTTATGCCACCATATGGTCCTCCAGGTATTTGTTAAAAACTGTCCAAGTATACTTATATAGGCATTAACAATATGTTAACTGTAAAAAAGTTTTATACAAATTAATTTCTAATCAGACTAGTTTTGAATATTTAGATTATTATAAGCTATAAGTTAAAATGTAATTCTTGTATCTGACTATTTAATTGGGAAAAAGAAAAGATTTAAAGTTCAGTTAAATTTGCGACTATATTTATGATATACAAAATTGTATGAAGTCAGTTTGATGTAAAGTCTTATGAATTTTTTTTTCTTAAAAGAATACTATACAATACAATACATGTCTGAATGTTGTTTGTACTATTTCATTTGTTTTGATTTGTTTGTATTATTTGATGATTCTATTTTATTTGTTTACATTTCAGCTGGTTCTGGTATGATGGGACCGAGATTTTCAATGCACCCTATGATGTACGGACAGTATCCGTACCCTGCTGTACACCCATACATGGAGTATTACCAGCAAGGCTTTGTTCCTGGTGAGAACTCCCAGTTACAATATGACAACTATTACACGTCTCTCAATCCATTTGCTGAACCATGGAAACCAGGCATGGGACCGGGACCCAACCATGACAGAAGAGCACAGTTTAGTGTTAAACAGGGAGCAGAGAAATGCTCTATGTGCAGTGAGAAAGATCAGGAAGAAAAACGAAAACGTTACCTTTGTGACAAACATAAACATGAAAAAGACTGCGTCCATAATGAAGAGTATAACTATAAACAAAGCAGTTCTGATAAAACAAATGTTAAATTTCCTGATTTGGGAAAATCTTATCGAGAAGATGGGCAGCATAATCAAAATGAATACAATAGCGGAAGTTCAGACAATAAAAAATATGTTAGCGATTTAGCGAAATCAAAGAAATGTTCTGTTAACAAAGGTTATTCGTATGAAAATGAGTTGAGTAATAGTGACGAAGAGGTTCCGGAATGGAGTACCAACGATGATTTTGAGGATGAAGAATATGACGAGAATGCGACTGAGGCGTTCAGCTTGAAGTTACAAGAGGAAACTCAGTCACAAACAGGTGATAAACAATACGACAGAAAAGATTACCAGCAATCCAAGGAACAACACAAGGTGAATAATAAAAGTAACAAATACTTTTCTTTCTTAAGTTTATGAAAATTTTCATACCGTTTTGGGAAGTTGTGAAAAAGAAATCTGGTGAAATTTTGTGCTGGTTAAATAAAGATTTTTTAGCTCCACTTTTCAACTTTTCCAGTATCATCATGACCCTCTTTATACCTTTATAAGGTTATTATCTCATGGATAAAATGTTTAACAATTCAAATTTTTAGTTACTTTTTTTTTAAATTTTAACATTTTTATCATTTGGTATACAAATTTATTCACAAGATTGAATAATAAATTTACTATATACTATATTTTAGTAGTTATAAAGATTGTTGACAGGTTATATGGCATTATATAAATGGTTGTTTGTAAATATATTGCAAATAACCTTTTATATGCGGCCATATAAGTAATAACCTGTCAGGAATATTTATAACAACTTTATAATACTTCAAACTTCTTTTTTAGAAAAAAAGTGAGATTTCTTTATAAATTGACAGCAGTCGTGTATATAAAACCATATCAAGAGTGACGTTACAAATGTTCAGTATAATAATGCAATATATACGTATATACTACAGGAGTCAGTAAAAATGATATCATCATCATCAACGGCTTTGAGTACAGCAAAAACTCCACCAATACCTGTGATGATGGAGCCAAATGCAAAACTTTATGTAAGTTTTTTACTGTTGTGCTTTGAAAGAAAATAATACCAATTATTTCTACATACAAAATAACTCTCAAGTTTATATTTGGTGCGAAATATTAGGTTTTTCTTAGTGCTATTTTAAGCACATAATCGGTTTTGTTCTGTTACCAGTACCGAGGTTGAGTACAAAGACGAGTCACCGGAAATTTAATTTCTTTCCGTTTCTGCAAGCTAAAACCAACATGAAATCTTCAAGTTATTAAGTTGCTTATATTGATTATTCCAATCCATAATTAATGATATGCTCTCTGTTCTTTACAAAACTTGTAGAAATTTTTTAAGTTCATTGGTATTTGGGGCTAGAAGTGTGTCCTCGGTTTTCTAGTTCTAGTTCTCTAGTTTTTCCATCTGCAGCAACTATATCCTACATTTTTTCAAAATTTACTTGAATTTCATGGAAGCATGGATAGTTAGCATTGTGGAGATTATGTTGAGAAACTTGGTTGCTATAATGGCAACAAGTAGACTTAAAATATTGCAAAAATTGTAATACACTGTAATAAATCATGGAGGGATGGGGGTGGTTTCCCTCCAAAAGTTAAGCTTGAAAGCGGCTATACGACCTACACAGTGTTGGTATGAATTATAAAAATTACTGAATATATACTGTTTTAGACTGATTTTTATTGTTGCAGATGATCTGTTCACTTGAAAATATTTGTTGTTTTTTTCTTTTACAGAGACAATCATTGAACAATTTGAGAGAAAAACGTAATTCGTTGATTCAGCAGCTACAAGAGATCAACAAGGAGGCCACAGCACATGAACACAAACTAGAGGAGTTGTCGGAAAGCTTGCCTAACCTATTCAGGTAAATATTTTCATCTTGGTTATCGTCTTCTCCATTCAACTAGACCAGACTAACCTTGACCTTCATTCATAAATGACCTTGACTTTCAAGGTCAAATGTCCAAATTTTGCTATTAGAGGCCATGACTTTGTTATCCTCCGCCGTAAAGGAGGTGTGCAGTGCACAAGAATGATAACTCTACCTTTCATAATTTTTGAGTTATTGCCCTTTGTTTCATACTTTATTTTTCACCTGAATGGAGCATAACTCAAAAGTGTTTGAGATGTCAACATGAAATGTCATAGGTGGATAGATGTTATTGAGGAGGAATGCTGTGCACAAGAATGATAACTCTTCCCTATACAATTTTTGAGTTATTGCCCTTTGTTCTTTTTCATACTATTTTGTCCGGAGCTTATCTCAAAAAGTATTTGAGGTATCAACTTGAAACTTCATGGGTGGATAGATTTTACTGAGGAGGGGTGCAGCACACAAGAATGATAACGTACCCTGCATTATTTTTCAGTTATAACCCTTTGTTATTTTCAGCCATCAGTATTCACATAGGTTTCAAATCTGTAATCACTTCAGCCATCAGTTTTCATTACCAAAAAAACCTCTTAAAATTGAATTATTCTGCTCTACTACATATACATTCTTCCAATGAGCAAACACATTCGGCGGGGGATGGCCATGATGTTGACATGGCAACAATAATTTATTATTAAGCCATCATTAAGTAAGTTTTTATTAATATCAATGTTTGATTTTTTTGATAGACAAGGATATTACAGAATTTCTTTATTTGATATTTTTAATTTTCAAATTTGATATACAAGGATATTCTAGAATTTGTATATAAAATATATTATTTAATTTTTCAGATTTGATCATGTAGACTTCAAAGAGTTTGATTCTGCTACCCTTAAAGAAGCTACGGTATATGCCAGTACGTTAAAACATCCGGAACCACTTGATACTGGTCCCTTTAGTTTAAAGAAAATAGCACCATCGAATGGCGAGATATTTGAGAGACTAGGAGCTATTTCTGGTGTACCCCCTCGTTCTGTCAATGACAGCATTATAGCCTCATGGACGGCTGCTACTCTCAAATACTCAGGTTTGTTGTTTACATACAGCTTTTGTTGAATTTTGAAAATGATATCCAATAACCTTAAATGAACAGTCCCAAATTCAAGAAGCGCAAACTTATTACACAAGTTCTGAAGATTAACGGCTAAAACTATCATATGACAGCGTCTTGTAACCTTTATTCAGCTGAATTTAGTTAAAAATTCTGGTTTGACTCGAGTTTGGACCAGTCCAAGTATAACGAATTTCATTATGAAAATATTAAATACAAGCAGGCAGTAGTGAAGAGCCTATTAATACTGTACAGAAGTAGAAGTGCAGACTGTGCATGTTTTATAATGGTGACATTGGTCTGTTATTATTGCTGATGGTATTTAAAGATTAAACATGGTTTTCTTGCCCCCGCCATGTAATGGCCGGGGCATATAGTGTTACCCTGTTCCATCATTCTGTCCTTCCGTCATTCTGTCATTCCGTCATCATCAGTTTCCGTTCATTATCTTAAGAACGGTTGCACACATTCAACTCAAAATTGACATATGGATATGTCATGAGAAAATACAGGTCAAGTTAGAATTTGGTCATAGTTTGTTGATTTTTGGCATAGTTATGCCCCTTTTACTTTGAAAATAATATGAAATTTTCAGTTTCCGTTCATTATCTCCCTAACTGTACAACACATTCAACTCAAACTTGACATATGGATATGTCATGAGAAAATACAGGTCAAGTTCGAATTTGGTTGTGGTTCGATGATTTTTGGCAGAGTTATGCCCCTTTTACTTTGAAAATAATATGAAATTTTCAGTTTCCGTTCATTATCTCCCCAACGGTACAACGCATTCAACTCAAACTTGACGTATGGATATGTCATGAGAAAATACAAGTAAAGTTCGAATTTGGTCATGGTTCGATGATTTTTAGCTCGACTATACGAAGTATATGGAGAGCTGTCCTACTCACCCCGGCGTCGGCGTCCGCGTCCTCGTCCAGATTTTAGATTAAAGTTTTGGTGCAGTAAAATATTTTTCACTATAACTTTGTCATTTCTTAAGGTATCAACTTCAAACTTCAAATATATGTTCCTTATCATCAACCACATCTTATGTGACAATGTTCATAACTCTAGCACCAATATTTTCAGATTTATCTCCCCTTGAACTTAGAATTTTCCTTAAAAAATACTATTTTTTACTGTTACTTCTTTATTTCTTAAGGGATCAACCTCATACTTCAAATGTATGTACATTATCATCATCCCCATCTTATGTGACAAGGTTCATAACTCTAGCACCAATATTTTCATATTTATCTCCCCTTGAACTAAGAATTTTCCTAAAAAAATGCTATTTCTTACTGTTTCTTCTTTATTTCTTAAGGGATCAACCTCATACTTCAAATATATTTACGCTATCATCCTCCCCATCTTATGTGGCAAGGTTTCATAACTCTAGCACCAATATTTTCAGATTTATCTCCCTTTGAACTTAGAATTTTCCATAAAATTTTTTTTTTTTTACTGTTACTTATTTATTTCTAAAGGATCAACTTCATACTTCAAATATATTTACGTTATCATCATCCACATCTTATGTGACAAGGTTCATAACTCTAGCACCAATATTGCAAGAATTATCTCCCCATAAACTTAGATTTTTTTTTAACTAGAAAAAATGTTATTTTTTATTATAACTTTTTTTATTTTAAAAGGTATCTACCTCAAACTTCAAATACTTATTCCTAATCATCAAATACATTTTATGTGACAATGTTCATAACTCTTGAAGCAATATTTACAGATTTATCTCTCTTTGAACTTAGGATTTTCTTTAAGAAAATATTATAACTTCTTTACTTTTTAAGGTATCTACTTCAAACTTCAAATATATATTTCTTATCATTACACAAATGTTGTGTGACAAGGTCCATAACTCTAGCATGACTATTTCTAGAATTATTCCCCTTGATCTTGGAATTAATGTTAACAAATGTTATTTTTTTACTATAACTTAATACATAATTATACATAATTGATTTTTCTTTCATAGTTTTGTCCTCTTTACTGCGTCCAGTATTTTATTAGTCGAGCTTCGCTGTCTCCTGTGACAGCTCTTGTTGGCAGAGTTATGCCCCTTTTACTTTGAAAATAATATGAAATTTTCAGTTTCCGTTCATTATCTCCTTAACAGTACAACACATTCAACTCAAACTTGACATAGGGATATGTCATGAGAAAATACAGGTCAAGTTAGAATTTGGTCGTGGTTTGATGATTTTTGGCAGAGTTATGCCCCTTTAACTTTGAAAATAATATGAAATTTTCAGTTTCCGTTCATTATCTACCCAAGGGTACAACACATTCAACTCAAACTTGACATATGGATATGTCATGAGAAAATACAGGTCAAGTTTGAATTTGGTCATGGTTAGATGATTTTTGGCAGAGTTATGCCCCTTTTACTATGAAAATAATATGAAATTTTCAGTTTCCGTTAATTATCTCCCCAACGGTACAACACATTCAACTCAAACTTGACATATGGATATGTCAAAGGAATGCACAGGTCAAGTTCAAATTTGGTCATGGTTCAATGATTTTTGGCAGAGTTATGCCCCTTTCATTTGAAAATAATATGATATTGTAGATAATAATAAATAAGAACAATTTTTCAGAGTGTCAGAACAATACTGTAGAAACTAGTCAGGCAGAGGCTCTCGCAAGTCAGGCTCCTTCATCCGAGTCCAACAGTAAAACAACTTACAAGAGCACGGTAATGTCAAATAGTTGTACCTATGTATTGTAACCATGATTTATAAATTTTCATAATATATTCATGCCATTTATTTTTGAAATTTAAAATCAATCCTGTTCAGAAATCTTTCTTATTTATAACCAGTTTCATAGAATTTTTTATGTATATTGTTTTAAATACAGTTTTTTTGTCACTACATGTGCACAAATAGGTTTTAAATATCCTCTGAAGCTAGTTTACCAATAACTACTACCTTAATTATTATTAAAACAAGCTCTTAAAGCTGTGTCAGGGAATCCATGGGGCGTTCAAGGCCGAGTGGTAAAGATCGTTGACCTCAAACCACTTGCCTCTCACCGCTGTGGGTTCGAATCCCGACAGAGACTTTCAATTCTTTCATGTGAGGAAGCTGTCCAGCTAGCTTACAGAACGTAGATGGTTCTACTATGGTGCCTGTTCGCTCCTGAAATAATGCATGGAAGGGCACCTGAGGTCTTCCATCACCAGTAAAGCTGGAACGTCGCCATATGACCTATACTGTGTCGATGTGACGTAAAACCCAAAACAAAAAAAACAAACAAAAATATGACCTATACTGTGGGGTAGTGACGTAAAACCCAATCAAACAGGGAATCCATTCTTTGGCTCAGTGGTCTATAGTAATTAGATGATTTCTTTGCAAGCTAGTGGTCCTTAGTAAGAATACAACGTGGCATAGGACTTTTCCAGGCACACCTGCATCTTTCTTTTGCTAATCTGATATAATAATAATAAAAAATTTTTTACAGGCCAATAGTTCTTCAAATTGGAGTAATGTAGATCAGGATTTTCCATATTGGAAAGATGTTACTCAAAATTTGGATTCTCCTTTGACAACCCCTCCCAGCACCCCTTGTCCGGCCTCTGTCAACAACTCGTATCCGGCCTCAGTCAGCAACTCGTATTGTAGTTTGAAAGCAATGTCGGAGAAGGCTTCAGGCAGTTATGATCCTATTTCTCATAGGGCTAAGAACATTGCCAGTAGTCATAGGGCTGAATCAGTGAACGGTACTTATACGTCGACGTACGGTCAGCCGGATTCAAATAAGACAAGCACGTCTTCAGATACAAGATATTATGGTACAAGGTCGTCAGTACAAGTCAACAGCTCTGTAAATGCAGGGATGCCTATTAACCATTCTAGAGGTTATGAGGGAAGTACTGTCGTAAGTGCTGCATCATTGCCGTCCTCTGTACGAAGCTCTCAAATGCTTGCAACAGTGTCATCATATACAGTTAGCCCGTCACAAATGGCCACTGCTTCACATACGTCAAGAAGTCAGCCTATGAAGTATTCAACAAGTTATGAACCGCCTGCAAAAGCTTGTGGTCCAACCACAAGTTACTGGCCAACAACACCGTCTAATCAGGGTTCGACCATGAGCATGTCATCTTCGACATCTTACCGTTCTTCTTCTCAGATATACGGTTCCTCTTCAGCTGCAACATTTTACACATCATCTGATATGCAGTCGCAACCTTCATTTTCAAGTACGTATTTTTTAATCTTATATTGCTCAAATTTGTTTCTTTGAAAAAGTCATAGTGTTGTCCCCATTTTCATTGCTATCTGCAGACTTTTAAACAAGTCATAACTTTCTTATATTCTCATATGGACAAGACTTTCCTGAATACCAGATTAGTTTAAACATATTTTATTCGTCAGATAAGCATATTTATATACATAATATTTACAATCAATACAAGAAAAGGATTTAGACTGGAAGCAACCTAATGCTTATTGAAGTCTTTTCCTAGAAGAAACCAGTTTGAAATTGACAGCGACTCATATATGACCTTGATGGTCAAATTTTAAAAATTTTGCTTGATTTTTGATAAAACTGTGAAATGAATATGTTTCTTATGAATTGTTTTGCCTTCATATTTGGACACTTCATGAAGACTAAACTGAATTTGACCTTGACTCATAACAGACCTTGACCTTGAAGGTTTGACTATTGCATTTTGTCTGTTACTTTTATTTCTGAACTTTGCTGTAACTATTAATTATTATCAATCAGTGGATTGCCTCTGTATTTTGGATGCATCTACCCTTAGGGCAAGACCTTTAAGACAATTACATTTAACTTGACCTTGAGATTTACTTGACCTTGAAATTCACAGTCCCAATTATTGGATTTTGTTAAAATTGGCCTTCATACTTGCACAAAACAACACATATGACCAAATAAACATGTTAAATAATTTGATTATTACTTTGACCTTTAATTGACCTTGACTGTCAAGGTCAAGTCATTGAATTCTGCTTAAATTGTGATATCAACTTTGTCTTTTTGTCGTTTATTGATTTTATTCACTGATTTGGTTCAAACTAATTAATACTAAATAACTTTTATGATAATACTGACATGTTGAATAATTTAAACATGACATTGACCTTAAAATGACCTTGACTATTAGTACAGTCATACCACATGTGTTAAATTAAGTAAACTGCCATTGTAAATGTGGTAGTATATAGTAACTGTATATTTCTCCTGACAATACCCAGCAAAAATAATTATTTATGCATGGGTGCAAGTTTTCAGGCATATGCCTGAAGCTCAGGTTTTTTTGTGACAAATTTCATCATGTTTTACTATTAGATTATGTAGGAAAATGATTATGAATAAAGGTTTTCAGGCTTTTCCAAATTTTCAACTTGCACCCATGTTTATAGCTTGAATCTGTAAATGTACTAATATCTAGGCAATTAATCCCAATTATTGTTAGAAATTTGATATAATTTCCAGTCTCTTACAATCTCTAACTAGTACAAGTGAATGTAAACAATGGTTGAGCATGTATTTAATTGAACTTGACAGTGGTACAAACCTTGCTCGACTCAAACTGACAAATGCAAAGTCTTAATAATTTACTTTCCCCATCATGAGCTTATTGTGTGTCCAATGAAAGCAGCATACAGGAATTTAAGTTATAGAAATTTTAATGCATTTTAGAAGTATCTTAAATAGTTATCAGATAAATTTGTCTGAAATTTTGTTTTTAAATTTTGTTTATCTTACAATTTGTGACATTTTAAGAATCTGTGTACAGCAGTGTTTAATTCATCACAAATGTTGTTGTTTTGTTTCGCTCAGGATTTCAGAAATCTGATTTTTTGAACCATATACATGTATCTATTTTGCAAACCAAACATATACATTGTATTTGATGGTGCAAAATTATCTGGGGTTTTTTTCTGGACAGGAGCTTAATGTTTTTAAATTAACTTATATTTTTGTTTCTTTTTCTTTTCAGGATTTATGAATTTGAATGAGGAAGATGATATCCCATTTATAGAAGGGTCCCCTATCATATCTAAATATGGTCCCATTTCCCGTGGCATTAAAACTGCTCAGCAGACAGCAATACAGGCTGAGAATGCTGCCGATGATGATGTAAGTATATGAGCCTCGCCATGACAAAACCAACATAATGGGTTTGCGACCAGCATGGATCCAGACCAGCCTGCGCATCCGCGCAGTATGATCAGGATCCATGCTGTTGGCTATCTGTTTCTCTACCTGTTATAGGGTTTGTAAGCGAACAGCATGGATCCTGATCAGACTGCGCGGATGTGCAGGCTGGTCTGGATCCATGCTGGTCGCAAACCCATTATGTTGGTTTTATCATGGCACGGCTAATATCTCTTTCATGCCGCTGAAATGTAGCCTTTATTTTCTTATTTTCAGAATATTGATTTGTTAAAAGGCACATTAAGGGGACTCCACTGAGGTCCAAAAGCCTCAAAACATAAAATTTGACATTCTTACTTAGATCTGTTGGGGTACCTATTGCAGAAATGAAAATACAAATGAAAATTATGAAATATACTCAAATACTAAATTTGAAATATATTGAAACTCATATTTTTGTGCCATTGTTTGGTGAATTTGAGTTAAAGATGTTGCAAAGTTTGAGTCAATTTTCCGGTTAGAATAATTTTTATGAAAAAACAGAAGGAGGGAATGAGCTCAAAGTTTGCATACAATTAACAGGTCTAGACCAATATCAAATGGAACATTAATCTTGAAAAATTAATTTCAGTCCCGTCATGTTAAAAAACCTCAGTGGAGTCCCTTTAAGCCTCAGAAATGAATGAATATTTCTTTCTGTTGAGGGGGCAAACATGTTGTTTTTTTTATAAATGTGTAATAATTGATAAGCTTTTACTGTTGAGCTTTTTGCATATTTAATGATTTATGCTTAGGATGCTAGAAATGAGGGACTAATGCAAGTGTGCTTCAAAGACACATATACCTCAGAAACAGATCTAGTTCTTTTTTTTTTCTTGAGAAAGGTCAAACATGAATTTTATAATGTTTAAATAATAGTTAAATAGAATGTTAGATGCTTGTTGCCTCAGGAAAGTAGTGATAGATGTGAAATGATTTGTCATAAAAGTAGCAAAATGCAAACAAAGTAATATTTTGACTTCCATATAAAATGCATATTCACTGTAAATGTACTGATTGCCAAATAGCAATAGATGATAAAGATGGTTCATGTAATTGGCCAATGAGTACACCAAAATTAAAAAGCTTTTCAGGAATATAAATAAAAGCATTTCTGAGGCATAATTGGCCTTTAATGCTTTGGTAAAAATACATCTACAATAAGTAATTTGTTTTTTCATACTACAGGCTACCAAGACTGTGCCAGTAACGGCGGTGACACCACTAAAGGGGCCTCCTTTACCCAGCGCCCAGAGAGTACCCAGTAGGTTCACACAGCAGGATGATGCTGAACAAAAAATGAACAAAAAGAGTTCTTCCCCCTTAACTGCTTACGAGAAGTCCTACTCATTATGGTAAGAAAATTCTGTGACTTGCATGTTTCTGATATTGATTGGCACTAAATTTGTGGCAGAAAATATGAATTGAAACAAAGACAGATGAAACACTGGTAAAAATTGTGTGTTTTATATCATCACCTTAATGCATTAACGGGTTAAGTCCTTCTAAATTTAATAAGAATTTAATCAGTTATTGCACTAAGGTGTCAATATATCTATTCTAACTGGATTTTAGAGAAGGCTTTGAAAATTAAGGTACGTCTGTGTGGACAATCTTAGACTTGACCAAGACTAATGCCATGTGAGGAATCATTTGGTAAAACACAAGTTGTGCTTAAACCCATGAACTCCTGGTAGACAATTGACACTTTAAGCTCTTGGACATGTGTTAAAATGGTTTAAGATTTTGAATTAAAATGGGTTAAAAGAAAGTGATTGTAGTGAAAAGATTTTGCTTGAATGTGTATGACTTTCTTTTCAGTTTAACCCTTGCCATGCTATATATTTTAAATGGACTTGTCGATCTCTCTATACAGACAAATCCATTCATCAATTTTAGGGGAGAAAATTAATAATAAGTTTTGACTGAATAGGAAGTATTGCAGACCTTGATCACATGGCATGGATATGATGGCTGATCTTGATCTATGGTTCACCAACTCCAAACTTACCACACTACAAAAAAGAAAGAAAAAAAAAGTTGCACCTTCTGGGATTTGAATCCACGCCCCTCAGTTTCAATGCAGTTGACAGTGATTCTAGCCTATTTGAAATACTCTTCAAAATGGAGGTAATGCATAAGAGGTGGCCCACCTTAACTATGTATATGGGTATTATATTTGAATTTTATTGATTAATAATTATTTTTTCTAGGACAACACAGCTTAATCTGTTGGAGCAGAAAGCAAAGAAGGCCAGCACCGAAGATGAGAAGCTCAGTGTGAAGTTACAGGCTGTACAGATGCAGATAGCTCTGGTAATTTACTGAATGTTCAATAATATTCTAATTACCGTATTGTTTCAAATTAACGCCCCCTCTATAAAGCCTCCCCCAGCACCACCACATTTTGAAGGAAAAAAAACTCTTACCTCATAGATTTATAAGCCGTAATTAAAGAACAATCCAAACATAATAATTTTATTTGAAAAGAACAATAAATGACACTCCAGTAATGTTAACTAACTCATTAAAAGAATATCCTCCTGTATAAAATATTAGATCATAATAATGAATAATGATTTCTATTATTAAATTATATCTTTGATAAACACATTTTAAAGCACATTTTTATAGTTCTTATTAGTGCCCCCCTTTTGAAACATGCAAGCCCATGGGGAGTGTTAAATACTGACAATTTGGTAAAATCCTAGTATTTGCTTGTTTATTTTATCAAGCACCCCATAATAGGGCACAAGATAAGGGCTAAGGTCCTGAACCGCAATATTACAAAATTCTGATATCAAAGCACATTTTGAGATCAAATTGTTGACAGGTAGAATTACCCCACCCATTTACTTGTACATGTAATAATAGTGTTTTGTTAATGCCTAATCAGTAAACATCATTTTAAATAATAAAATTTGTTTTAAGTCACTGTTACGGTATGTATTTGCCTAGAGCACTATCTTCTATATGCATATCTATAATGCCCACATCTCTGGCAAAGCTTTTGTGACAGGCGTATTTTGCAAGAATGTTGCCCTTGTAAATAAATGTAGAATAATTATATGGTATTATAAGGTTTTTAATGAATGTAGAATAATTATATGGTATTATATGGTTTTTACAGAAAGAACAAGAGCTTCAGCAAGCTCAGGTAACTGAGACCACCATGTGCTCAGAATATATGAAGAACCGTCATTGATAAAGACTGGAAGGCTGCAGATTTAATACTACATTATTGGTAAGGCTAGAGAATAATGGATATAATTATATCTGGTTGTAATTGTATCATCAGTTAAAGATTTGATTTTCTATCTGCTTAGCTCAGGAGAAAAAGAAGAAAAAAACATTTGGAAAAGCATGTGATTTGTATGTAAGGAGTTGCTAGGTTGATTCTCAAACTGGGTGAAATTTCTCCCTGAAAATTGATCTCAGACCATTGAGTGTAATGGACGTTTGTCCTGCATCACTGATTAAGAAATTATATGGGATTAATAGTCAGTAACTTGCAGAGGAATTGGTAATAACTGGTTACCTATATCTTGGGGTCTATTATACCATTTAAACTGTTTCAATTGTATGCAGTCTTCTTAATTTGAAGATTTTGGAATCTATGATTAAAAAAGATTATTTGAAATAACAACAACTATGTCCCAACGAGTGTCATCAATTATATCCTTTTTATACTATGGGAACTATTATGGGAACGCCCCTGGTGGGCGGTCGGTCGGGCGGGCGGGCGGCGTCCAATTTTGTCCGGAGCATATCTCCTAAATGTATGGAGGGATTTTAATGAAACTTCATAGAAATGTTCACCACTATGAGGAGCAGTGTCGCGCACATGAACCAGGTCTCTAGGTCAAAGGTCATGGTCACACTTAGAGCTCATTGAAAAATACTTGTCCGGAGCAAAACTTCCACATGTATAGAAGGATTTCAATATTACTTGGCACAAATGTTCACCATTGTGAGGCGGAGTGTCGCGCGCAAGATTCAGGTCCTTGCGGCCAAGGTCAAGGTCACACATAGAGGTCAAAGTTCAGATAAAAATATGAAGATGTGTATATGGACCATTTAGTCATCATTTATTGAGGGATTGTAACACAAATGGTCATTATCAAGACTATGGCTGTGATACATATAATTTAGGTCAATATATACAAGGTCAAGGTCACTAAAGATGATGAAATATCCAGATTTTGTCCGGAGCATATCTCCTACACGCATGGAGGGATTTTAATGAAATTTCATAGAAATGTTCACCATTATAAAAAGCCATGTCACGCACATGAACTAGGTCTGTAGGTCAAAGTCACACTTAGAGCTCATTGAAAAACGCTTGTCCGGAGCAAAACTTCCACATGCATAGAGGGATTTCAATATAACTTGGCACAAATGTTCACCATTGTGAGGCGGAGTGTCGCGCACAAAATTCAGGTCCCTGCAGCCAAGGTCAAGGTCACACATAGAGGTCAAAGTTTAGATAAAAATATGAAGATGTGTATAGGGATGATTTAATCATCATTTATTGAGGGATTGTGCTGTGACACATGTACTTTAGGTCAATATATGCAAGGTCAAGGTCACTAAAGATGGTGAAATATCCAGATTTTGTCTGGAGCATATCTCCTACATGTATGGAAGAATTTTTATAATACTTTATGGAAATGTTCACCACCATGATATGTATTGCTCCATGCATGATCCAGGTCTCCAGGTCAAAGGTCAAGGTCACACTTAGAGCTCATTGAAAAACGCTTGTCCGGAGCAAAACTTTACTTTATAGAATTGTTCACCACCATGAGATGTAGTGCCCTGCACATGAACCAAGTCTCTAGGTCAAAGGTGAAGGTCACAGCATGTCTCATAGAAAAATGCTTGTCTGGAGCAAAACTTCTACATGCATAGAGGGATTTCAATATAATTTGGCACAAATGTTCATCATTGTGAGGCTGAGTGCCGTGCATAAAATTCAGGTCCCTGCGACCAAGGTTAAGGTCACACATCCTGTGCATATCTTCCCTACTGATTTGTTTTAAGGTTCATTTAACAACACAGTGCCAAGAATAAAAACTTGCTTGCTAGATAACACTTATCCATAATGCCCCCATCTCCATCTAAAGCTTTCGTAAACGGGCGTATTTTGTGACTATGGCACCCTTGTTGTTGTTACTTCAGGATAAGGTCATTGACTTCAAACAACTTGCCCCTCACCGCTGTGGGTTCGAATCCCGACAGGGACTTTGGAGTCTTTCATGTGAGGAAGCTATCCAGCTAGCTTACGGAATGTCTGTGGTTCTACTCAGGTGTCCGTTTGTGTCTGAAATATGCACAGAAGGGCCCCTGAGGTGCTCCTCCACCAATAAAGCTGGAACGTCGCCATATGACCTATACTGTGTCGGTGTGACGTAAAACCCAAACAAACAAACAAAACAAACTTCAGGATAAATTAACTTAAACTTTTTTGATTGAAAAAAGATTCTGAGTAGAAATAACAACTTTGTCACAAAATAAATCTCATCATTTTTATCCTTTTGTTGTTTTGTCATGTTTTAAATGTTAAGTAAATAATAGATAAAAAATGTATGTTATGTTTTTCAGGATATATTTAACTTGGAATAAAGACAGTCTGGTGACAATCAACAGCCGTGTGAATACTTGATTATGGTTCTCTTCATTATTGTCACATCAAGGGACAATTATGATTAAATATATATACAATTTATGATTCAATACAGGTTTGATTGTGGATATGGGGATAGTGGAAGGTCTAGGGTAAAAAAAATAGGAATTTAGAAAGAGGTAAAATTGTTAAAGTTTTGTTGTAAGTTAGCTGGACACGTGTGACATTATCTTTTCAACACTTAAAACTTATACATGTAGTTGTATTTTTTTACTGTATAAATGTATGATAAAACTATAGGATTGTTAATGCTGCGATTGTAACACTAAATTTGTTTTGTTATTAAATGTAATAGGAACAGTGACTTTTCTAGAAGTGTTTAGTGTTTAATCTAAAGCAATGCTTTATTCTGTATTCAGAAACAATGAAGATTAGAAAATATATGTTTATTGACTATACAAAAAATTACCATGTTGCAACATGTGAAAAGAAATTCTTGTAATTGTTGATCCTTTTTATTTGAGTAAATCATGTAAAAGACTTTTGATTCATGTAAATCATGTTAAAGACGTTTAATTTGTGTAAATTATGTAAGAAGCATTTGATTTGTGTAAATCATGTAAAAGATGTTTGATTTGTGTACATCCAAAGAAATGATTGATAATATGTTCATTATTTACGTACTGTCTTTACCATAGAGATAACAATTACTTTTCTCAGGCTGTAAATAAATGTCTCTTGTACAGGATAATATGCAATGATTATATAGAGTAACTTTATCACATAAACCATGGCACAGGAGTGTAATAAAGCCATTTAACTAAAATCATATTACACTAGTGTAATAACAGATTGACATGACATCAGCGTTTTATATTTATAAACATAAGGTTTAAATCAATGCATGTTAGTTACACTGTAAGCGCGTCAATGAAAAATGATTCTTTTTTAACTGTATACTGCATAATATGATTGTATTGAACTGGTTCAGTAAATTTAATATTAAATCTACACTCATTTAATATCCTCTATATATCACATAAACCACGGTGCATGAGTGTAATTATGCGATGTAATAAAGAAGATATGAGCTGCGTCACGACTTAACCAACATAGTGCGTTTGCGACCAGCATGGATCCAGACCAGCCTGCGCATCCGCGCAGTCTGATCAGGATCCATGCTGTTCACTATCAGTTTCTCTACTAGAGTTGGTAAGCGAATAGCATGGATCCTGATCAGACTGCGCGGATGCGCAGGCTGGTCTGGATCCATGCTGGTCGCAAACCCATTATTTTGGTTTTGTCGTGACATGGCTCATATTACACTAGTGTAAATATAAATTGACATGACATTGTGTGCATTTTATTTAAACATAACTTTAAAGCTTGTACATTTTAGTGTTACACTATAGGCATGTCAATGAAAAGTGACACTTTAAACACAGCAATGAAAAATGACTTTTTTTTACTGTTAACTGTTCTTATTTTAGATATGTTTTAAACAGAATATTACATTTGTGCAGATTCAATACTAAATTTATTGAACTTGTTGAAGAAAACAATATTTTGCTTGCCAGAGGCTTACATAATATTTTTTTATTCAACTTGTTCAACAAATTTAGTATTGAATATATGCTCACCAATATCCTCTATTTACTTGATAAAGCTACTTTCAATACAAATGTACTTAAATATTACCATGTTGATTATACATGTATGTAAATAATTATTTGCTCCAAATTTGGACTTGATTTATTTGTATATAGTGAAGTTACTGTACATATATAGAGCATGCATTGAGTGAAGTGTGGTTTTTAAGAAGATATTTTGTATTTGTATATATATATCATAAAATGTTAATATGTATATATTTATGTAGTAATTATATTGTTGTATTAGAAATTGTGTTTACCATGTAAATACGCATATAAATGAAACTGGACGCCCTATGGGAAATAACTTGCTGAGATTGATGCAAAACATATTGTTCTGTTGTTATAAAGCTCCCTAAAATTCAGGGGAATGTACGGTGGTTTTTAATAAGGATCAAGGTCACTGAGTCTAAAAATAGGTCATAAAATCTTCATTTATTGACTAATTAAGAATATAAAAATAAGTAAGTAAGTAAACTGTTAATTAAAGTGACATGTGTCATTTACAATAAAAGGATGTACAAATATACTGATCAAAGTATTTACACACGGCCCCATGGGTTTTTAAGTCACTATAAATATGTATAGATACACTTACACTATCTTGTAATGTGTGGCTAGAAATGATTTTCCTGTGTATTCATCATAGGGGTGTTATATTAACTGTGTCGTATATACATCAGTGTACTGGCATTGGTGTCACCAATATTCTTGTCTTACAGTCACATTGTCTAGTACGGTCATATAACTTGTTTATATCCAGTGTTTTTTTTCTGAGCTTTTTTTTAAAATGAAAATTTGCCTTGTGTACAGAGAAATTTATACCAAAAATCTTGCATATATTTTAATCCAGTAAAAGTTTGTTATGCTATATAATTTCATTACTTGTGTATGTACAGTTTATATAAATACTTGTACTACAATTAAAATTATTACTCAGTAATGTTTGCTAAAATTTTTATAAAATTTTATTATTAAAACAAAATTTCTGTGCCTGAACTCTTCAAAGATAAACAGACTATTATCCTTTGTTGAGGGAAATGTTTGACTAATGACTACATTAGTACTCAGTTTTTCAATATTTTATTCAAATTATATTCTGCAAAAGTGAGCAAGTAATCGTTAAAGATTTTTGTAGTTAACAGTTTGAGTGTTTGGATTTGAATTGGAATAATTAACATGTGTATATATACATTTATTATTAACAAATGATAATAATATTACCAGTTATTTTGGTGATTATTTGTATTTGGTTTAGTAGTAAATATAGAGATTGGGTGTATGTTTGTTTCTAAAGCAATATTTATAATACTGCACATTTTGTAAAACTGATTTTCATTGGACCGTTGAGAAGATAATATCACTGGTATTGTATTATATACATGACAGCTGCAAAAATTTGAATTAACCACTAGCCGGCTGGCGGAAAACTAAATAACATCCATGTGACCAGTGCAGTCCATGACCAGCCTGCTTTTCCATGCTATCTGACTATGGTCTCTGTTCCCCTATACAGTCAGTACTCATTTTTTAATTTTACCTAAAAATGATGAATGGTTTTGCTCAGATTGAAAGAGGGACTAGTCCATTTGAGATTTGTGGTGTGGTAAAGGTTAATTTATAATTTTAGTCAAAGAAAACAATTTGGCAGTGTTATAATGTGTTTTACAAAGTTTTTTTATGACAGGTTATATGACCATTTATAAAAGGTTTTAAGACCATTTATGACAGGATAGGTTATATGACCATTTATAAAAGGTTTTATGAATATTTATAACAGGTTTTATGACCATTTATAAAATGTTATATGTCAATTTATAAAGGGTCATATAACCATTTATAAGAACATATAACCTGTCCGAAATATATAAGACTAATAAAACATTCAAGATAACTTACTTGAAAATTTGAAAATATGCAATATATAATTATATACAATGTATGTATAAGAGTGGAGAAAGGTTCTTTACCTTATTTACTTGAATGAAATTTTCTGTTTGTTTATTTTTTTGTTTTGATGATCTTGAAAAAAAGAGAAATTATATATAGTCATTATGTCAGTATTGATTGAGATAAATTTGGCAAATTATGAAATTAGTAATGGGTTTATTTGTCATTTTCAAAATGCTTATATTATATTCCTAATGTTAAAATAAATGTATTGCCTGTGTGACCATTTTATCAAGGCTTATATGGTTTCATAAACCGAAATATTTTCTGTAAACAAAGGGATAGAGGATCTATTCTGAATAATTTTCAAACACCCATCATATAAGCTGGTTTTGGGAATGAAATATAGAAAATATCTCTCATTTTAGTGAGTTGTATTCACTACTGAAAAAAAAATCTTTTTATTTTATGCTAATGCATGAAACACAACTATTTCTCACTGTGAATGATATACAGTGTGAGTGATATAGAAAATATCTCACTGGGAAAATTTTAATTAATTCATCCATTAGCATAGAAATCTTTACAATGTAGTCATTTTCCATGAAAATGTAAGAGATCAAGTTCAAAGGTCAGATTAATGTGACTAATTTGATAAAGGGAGGTAATTAAGATGGTATTTTGACAAGAGTTGTGGTCCTACGGGCTGAAATTGGCTTTGTTATTTGTTGTTTTTGTTAATTGGTGATGTTTGTTTTGATATTTTTAATTAATTTGCATATATTTGCTGGTGTTTGACTATTATAATGGTATTTATATTTATTTTATGCTTTTTTTATGAAGCTTTGTTTTCTTTTTATGATTGTATTGTGGGGGAGGGAGTCAGTGAAAATGTCCCTATTAAGTTAAGAGGCTTAGCATGAGTAAACCTGGTTGGTATGTCTTTTAGTATGTCAAATGTTACCTTTTTGAGGTTTCTGAATGAAAAATCCTTTAAATGAATGATGGAATTGAAAGATATTTGCTACACAGTTGTAATATCAAGAAATATACTTAAGTTTTAGCTACAAATCTCAAATATTTGGCATATTTATGACCCTTTACATCGTTTAGGGGAAAAAAAGAAGATGCTTATGGATTGTAAATTTCTGATGAATTTCAATAATATTTGGTATACATGTTGTGTAACATTATGAAATTCATGTTGAGTTTGAATTTGGCTACAAACTTATCATTTTTGACATTATTATGGTCCCTTGTCATCTGTAAATATTCCATAAATATGATGTATGAAGGTGGGTTTTTTTTAATTGTTTTTTTTTTAAAAGCCAGTATTGTGAGGGAATTAATCGCTTTAAGTTTGTTTTTTTTTATGCTGAAAATTTTTTATGTGTAGTGTAGATTATACTTGCATTATATAGTATATAAGTTATGTAATTGGTTTTACTTGTATTCGGTATTTTTTTTTCTTTTTGTAAGCTAGTATGATCACTATGTGAGATGACAGTGTCGGATTTTGTGTGTGCGATATAAAAGTATTTGCAAATGATTATGATGTGAACTTTTTGTTGTATTGACTCTTGCCATTTTGATTTTTTGCAAACAGATTTGACACTGGCTGTAAAATAGATTTCAGGTCAATACAAAACATACCGAAGTATCATACATTGGACAATTATATAGGTATCATCTCTCAAGTTAAAAAAAAATACATAAAATCACTTTTTAACTCGAGACATTTATTGTTATTTAATAAGTGTTTTCGTACAAAGTCTCCTTTGGTTGAAATATAATGTGTTGAAATCATGGGTGCAGCAAATAAACACACAAAAATGAACAAAAAAAAGTCATGTTTGTTTAATGAAAATGCGTTCTCCATTTATTAGATAGATGGTTTTATACTACTATGTAGGCATAAAGTTTCATCATTTTACATTGTATGTAAGGTCGTTTATTTCGCTGATATAGATTGTGTATATGAAATTAATATTAAAATTGACAATTACCTTGTCTGAACATGAAACAAAATTATTTGTTATTGTTTGGTCAATATTGACCTTAGACATTTGAATATTCATTGACCTTTTGTTGGTAATTATCAGATTCCGAAGTAAACCATACAGGTTTTAATGTATGGTACAATGGTATATATATATATATATATGAGCTGCGTCACAACAAAACCAACGTTTTGTGTTTGCGACCAGCATGGATCCAGACCAGCCTGCGCATCCACGCAGTCTGATCAGGACCCATGCTGTTTGCTTACAAACACTATTACAAGTAAAGAAACTGATAGCGAACCGCATGGATCCTGATCAGACTGCGCGGAGGCGCAGGCTGGTCTGAATCCATGCTGGTCGCAAACACATTACGTTTGTTTTGTTGTGAAGCGGCTCATATATATATATTACTTAGATTTACCAGCATATCACTTGTCTTTCTAGCCTCAGTGACAAGGTGTTAGACTTTTATTGGGTTTTAAATTGATAAATGAAACATTTTTGTGTTTTCCTGTATATTTTTATTATGCAAAACTTAACCACTGTTTTATGCATGCGAGTCACACATTGCAAGG